TAATTGAATAACTAAATGTTTTGAAAAATCAAGAAAGACTAGTAAAGATAGAGTTTTAGTTTAGGAGATGATACTTTGTTATGAGTTTTATTTTATTTTATTTTTATTTTTATGAAAAAAAAAATATGTTCTTAAATCTTTTCAATATCATTTTCATTACGATATGAAACTGCAAGGCTATTATTAGTTGTGTAGCTTATACCGCAAGATTATTTTTGGTACACTTTGCTTGAATTTGCAAGAAAGGTTTCAGCGGGTTTATGATTTGCAAGTCCATTTCTTTGATAACCTTATAACATCGAACAGAGTGGAAATGTTGATTTTAATTTGGTTGATGACAATATGAAAAAAACAAACACAAAGTTCATTTGAGGGATTCAATATTATTGAAAATATTTTAAAAACAAGTTTAAATGCAATAAAGTGCAAGGTAACTTCTAATGTTCACTTTGACAATAAAAATCTTTTTTTCAATTTTTATTATTGCTGAAGAGTGATGTCTAGCTGCGTAAGCGTTTTGGTGAAAATAATCATAGTTGTATTGATAGTAGTAATAGTTGTGGTGTTATGACGCGCTTTTAGTTTAAAAAAGAAATTCCAAATTGGATACCAATCACATCCCTTAAAGTACCGTACTCAACTTATATTTAAATATTTAATTTCTTATGTAATAATCTTTTCATTATTCTTGTGAGTATTATTACACGTATTGAATACCTAAACACGTGAATATTAAATTTAGGGCTTGTGGGGAAAAAAAATCATCCCTAATATCAAGACTCCATTTTTTATTATGATTAGAAGTGAAATCGGTAGAAAAGTAAGCTGAATAAAATTACACGTTGGACGTCTATTAGAGTCTTTTTTGTGGACCTCTGAACAGATTTTTTAGACCTCCATAGACGTAATTTAGAGGTTCAAAATAAACGGACGAAAGTCGTTTTATTTAGTACTTCTAATGGACATCCATTTTGGACATCTGAACAAACTATTTTGGACGGCATTGGATGAACTATGGACGTCCGTGTGTCTATTAGGAAAGACAAAGTTTATATTTTATTATTAATTTTATCATAAAAAAAAATACATTAGCTTTTAAATTTAAGTCATTAGTTTGAAGTTAGTGTTAATAAAAACGTGCTGTTTTATGTCTAAATAGTTACTCAAATCCGGTTAGAATACGTAAGTCGCAAAAATACTAGTATAAAGATTTTAAACCTCATCTTTTACCTTACTTTATTACCATATTATCATATTATCATAATACTTTGTTACCGTATTACTTTACCTTTTTACCATAATACCATATTACCATATTATCATATTACTTTATTACTGTATTACTTTACTTTATTACCATAATACCATATTATCTTAAATAACTTAAATGTAACACTTGTTTATACTTTTGATTCTAAACTAATAGATTAAAATCACAAGTTATTGGATTTTAACTTTTGTACCTTTTGAAAACATTTGCCTCTTTTATTTCTAAAACAAGTTTTATCGCAATGCCATTGTTATTTATAAAATAGTTATATGTTAAAATGATGTTTGCATCAGCAATCTTACTTATAGGAGAGTTTTATTCAAACTGAGAAACACACTTTAATTTTGGTTTAAATATAGAATTCCTTGACAGGTCATTGAAATTTAAGAAAGATTTCATTCAAAGTGTTTTTTTTTTATTATTTTCTTTGGGCATAGTATGCAATTTTCGGAAATATTGTTATACGTAGGTGCTATTTTAAAGATGGACTAATTAAGTATAAATTCATTAATATTTTTATTTTTTATTTTCCATTTTTTAAACTTGATGGAAAACCCATTTTATTCACAACCAAAATCAAACATAGATGATGTATTTTATAACAACCAAGATAATGATGATTATGGAATAGTTATCATTATCTTGGTTATTATTATATACATCATCTAAGTTTTTATCTTGGTTATTATTAAATACATTATCTATAAAAATACTGCACCTTTTATACCTGATTTAAAAAATGACCCCATGCATTTAATTAAAACAATAAGGTTTTGCCTTATAAAAAACGAATTTCGAACAGAATTAAAGTTAAATGTTAAATAAAGTTAATTAAATCGTAACATTTTGATTTTTGTTGATAAAACAAACATCATAAAGCAACTAACAAAAGGAAACTATGAAAATTTTTTCGTAACAATATTACTAGTTCTTTTGAAAAAAAAAACCTAAAAATATGAAAAATACAAATAATTTAGAAGCGCAATGTATTGCGGAAAAATAAGCCATAATAACAGAATGGAACTACCTGACCTGAACCTTCGTAATTTGAAGCAGTGGAAAAATTACCGCTGATGTTAAAATTTGTTTACCATAATCAAAAATAAAAATGACTATGTTTATTAAATTTGAAATGATTTTTACACATCAATAACTGTAGATATTTTAGATAAAACAATTGAATTTGTGAAAAGCCACACAGTTATTCTTGAAGAAACAACCTGTTTAGTAAAACATTATCAAAAAACATTGTTTTATTTTAATCAGAAAACTTGGAAAGAGAAAGGCATAAATGATTGTTTTGATGTTACATTGGGCAGTTATGACGGAACAGAAACTTGTGAATTTGTTGGTCGTTATATTTTAGATTTAGTAAAAAAATAACCAATACAAATAATTTAGACCATTATCAAGGCTGTGGTTTATAATGTGTAAGAACTATGTTCCATAGCTCAATAAAACTAATAAAAATATTGTACATATTTTTAAAAATACTGACTTTCAAATCGTAATAAACAAAAGTTTAAAGACTGTAAACTTTCTTGATGTCACACTTAAGCTCTATGAAATTTCATATAAGCCTATCAAAAATCTAAACAATGAATTACTGTATTTTAATAGTAACTAAAACCTTTCATCCCCAAATTCTCAAACAAAAAATGATTTTAAATAATAACAGACTAAAACAAAACACTTTTAATGTATATATCTCCTTTAACAAATCTTTGAGAATGTCCTTAAAAAACATTGGTTATGAAAATTTTGAAATAAAATTTGACCCTAAAATAAAGAATACAATAAAGAGATTTAGAACTAGAAATGTAATTTGGATCAAACTCTCATATAGCAAAAATGTTTCTACTAACGTAGGAAAAAGTATTTTGAAAGTTGTTCGATAAGCTTTTTCCGGCCACTAATAAATTACATAAAGTTTTTAATAATAATACAATTAAAGTTAGCTAGAGTTACACAAAAAATGTTACAATAATGTTTTGTTAAACAAAAAAGAAATCCTAAATAAAAAAACTAGAAAAAATTGCATTTGTAAGCAAAAATACATCCCCAAATAAGTTGAAGTTGTTTATTAAAAATTTAGAATATAAATATGTTGTTTCCTCTAAAAACGTACCTGATAAACATTTACTCTGGCATAACAGAGGTTGAACAGAAAAAACGTTTTGTCAATTATGACCAATCTTTTCAAAACAAAAAGTATTCAAAAGACACCATGCTGTCAAAATTCATCTTAGAATTAAAATATAAAAATAATAATGACTTTATATTGCATTGGTCCGTCCTTAAAACAGCCTCTGTTTGCAGTGGCTGTTTTAAATAAATTATGCAGCCAATGCATTAATTGAAACTACACCAATACTTTTTAAATTAACGCAGCCTATGAATTATATGAAAATATAACAATATTTTCTAATAAGGCATGCTATGCCTACAAAAGATATTTGAAATAGTTACACATATAAACCAAAAATATTTATTACTCAAAAAGCAAAATTTTTTTGGTTTGTTTTTGTTTGTGGATTTGATTTCTAAACGAAGGAAAAAAATAAGTTTTTCCTAAAAACTAATAAAAGATGTGAACTCAAATAATAATAATTTCATTTATTTCTTCCTTTTAAAATTTTTTTTTTAAAAAAGCAGAAGTAATCATTCTAAAGAATTCTTATATAATAATGTCACCATATTCCACAAATGTGAGAAAATTAAAAGGTAAGACATTGCAAACTTCCCACAATTTTTTTTTGGTATAAGTTGAAGTTTTATTAATTTGATTATTCATTTTTGACGAGTCTTTTAATTAAACAGAGTGTTAATTGAAATTTATATATATATATATATATATATATATATATATATATATATATATATATATATATATATATATATATATATATATATATATATATAAAGATTTTGTATAACTTTTAAACAAAATAAAATTCACAATCATAATGACTCATATAAATAGGAGGGTAGAAACTTTTGATTCGCGGCTTTTGGCTCTCTGCATTGTTGTCGGATTTGAAAAAGTTTTTTTTAAGGAAAATTTTAATACTCTTGCGTAAAAATTGTTATGTATGAGTAACACGAAGTAAATACTTTTAATTTTTTAAGTCGACCGTGATGTATATATATTTGTTACTTAAATATATTGTTATAAATTTTTTTTTTTAATATTTTTGAATTTTAGTAAATCCACAAGTAAATTTGTATATATGAAGCCAAAATTAGTTCATCAATTACAGTTTTACTAAAACTAACATTAATTAGTTAAAGCTGTACAATTGTGTTTATAATTTGCTACTATTAATAAACGGTTTTTATTATTCTTTATTTTTATCAAATAAAATTATTTACTATAGCTTACTTTTATTATGTTTTGTCTTAAGTATAATTATGGTTATAGATAAAGTATGCTTTGAACATAGCAATGCAGTTACGTCATAGTTCAATATAGATAGATACTATTTAAGTTAAAAAAAACTAAAAAGTACCACGTATTATAATTTTACGTCTATTTAGACTAAAATGATTACTTTCGTTACGTAAAAATAATTTGTCTCATTACATAAAAATATTACCTTTTGTTACGTAAAAAATGTTACTTCTGGTTGCGTAAAAATATTACGTCTCATTGCGTAAAAATTATAGGCTTGGTTATGGAAGTAACCCTAACCCTAATCTAACTTGATTAGGTTACAATACGTAACCTTACCTAAATATGTTACAGAGGTTGAACTTGAAAAAGCCAATTATGAATAGATTCCGTTTATAGCCTAAAGACATTAATAATAGTATAATATAGCAAACACTTTGTATACATTTTTTTTAAATATTTATAAGTGGTTTACTTCATATTGTAAATTTAAGTAAAAAATAAGAAATTCTTTTTATATTTGCTTTATATAAAACTTTTTTTTTTTTTATCTATAACCTGCTTTTATCAAAAATTTGTTTAAATAAAGTTTTTATTGATTAGATATTCTTTGCTACAGTAACAATGATTATGTTTTAAAAATATATATAAATAATCAGTAAACAGTATAAGCATTTAATATTAATCTTAAACTTTTCAAATAACTATGTTTTACAGAAATTAAAGCATCGATTGATTGAGGACTTGATAAATAACAAAGTAGAAGAATTTATCTTAAAGAGCGAGCGAATAGACTTTGCATTGGAAATAATAATATTATAAATAGTTATAAATCAATACTTTCACATTTAGAATTAACTCAAGTAGACTGAACGGTTTTAAAAACTTAAAACTACCTCAGTTTGAAACATAGAAGATAAGAAGTCCTTTGTTTGAATTCTTCAATTCTAATAAACTTTAAAAACTATATTTTTTTAAATGCTTTGAACACTTGCAGCTATTTGATGCGTACGTCTTCAAGTTTTGAAAAGGAAACTGTTAACTATAAAGTGTTTGCAAACAAAACCTTGTTTGCTTAGATGTTCATATTTATCAATATAACAAAGTATATTTGTCTTAACATTTTAAAAATAAATATTTATACTATGAAAGGTGCAAAATTTATATAAAAAAACAACAAGTATGACGTTTATTTAAAAGCTATGAAAATCACATTGCTAAATATTGATGTTTATATTTTAAACTACGTTAAGAGCAAACCAAAATGCACATGTCGCTATGCACCATGGACTAGAGAGAATATTAGCTTTAATGGAATCTCAACAAGGATTTTTTTATTTGTTATAAAATGATTTAATAATAAATAAATAAATATATATTTTTACAGTAAATCATTTTTCCATAATTAAAACTAGTTTCACTGGGTAGGACATCAAACTGCCAAATTAATTTTCAAACAAAGTCACCAAATGAGAAATTAAAATTAAATTACGTTCCAAATATTAGGTACAAAAACTCTATAATTATATAACTCTATAATAATTTGCCAAATGATCGTTTGAAGTAAATTCTCTAAAAACTCGTTTTAAAAAGGTAATGTTGCAAATTTAGTATACTAAACTACAAATTGGACTATTTTAATAAAACAAAATTTCAGAGAGCTTCTTTGTAAATAAAAATTGTCGGATGTTTCTTTTTCCCTACCACAATATTATTCATTAATATTATCAAGGTAATCTTACTAAAAACACCTTTTCAAGAGTGGTCATAGATATTTTATATACTAACACTTTATGTTTAATGATACATGTTTTCAGGGCTTAATTTAATTTTTTAAAAATATGTTTGGGTCAGACATTGTCCGATCAAATATTTAAAAAATAATATTTTCGGTTTTACGAAACCGAGTTATGCTATTGAAATCTTTGTCAGGTTAGCCAATTTATTTTACGTTAGTCTAGCGACGTTGTAGTTTCTTTCCTTGTTATTTAGAGTGTTGTTTTTGTGTTAAAATAAATTGACAACAACAATGTTATTTTTTTAAAAAGGTACATTTTCAAATTTAAAAATCCTAAATCTGCTTTTAAAATAAATGGTTAATAAAGCAACTGTTCATGATGGTGAAAAATGTAGAGTAGAATGAGGTTTGACTTAAAATTGAAGAGTAGAAATAAAAGCTACCAAACTTTTAGTCCAGAAGAAATAAAAGCTTCTGAAATGCACTTAAAGCATACATATTATGGATAGAAACATATATGTTTGCTATTTATTTAGATGCTGGCATATAATACCCTTTCATATTTATAAAAATTTTAGTATTTATATGGTGTAGTATTTGCCGAAAGAGAAAATGACGATGATGATTTTAATCATAATGTTGATCATAATGATGTTTATATATGCATTCACATACAAAATATAACATGAATTTCGAAAAAAAAATACTTTAGGGTGTATAAATGTTGACGCAGTCTCAGTCACACACCGGGGTTGCAACTGGGGTTGCATAACTGCATTAAATATCAACGTTAGTCACAGACCGGGGTTGTTATTTGACCCGGCCCTGGCCCTGGTCAAATATCAATCCTGGTTGTTTACTAATTGCATGAGAGTTCTCATCAATAATGACATGCAATTGCTTGTTACTCTTAGCTATATTTACACTTGTTCGATGTTAGCAGCACTTTTATATATTACTCTTATTACAATGATTAATTAATTTAACTAAATATTTTCACAATAACTTGATGCATTATGTTAGTTTTGAGGGTATTGTTACAAATATATGTATTAATTTATGGGTATTGAATTAATATTTATATTTAGTTAATTAACAAATTTTCATAGACTGTGACCTAACCTTTTATCAGTTGAATCTTACCAGTTTCAAAATTCACTAGACTTGCTTGCTCTTTGTGAGACTGTATTAAATTCAGCTAAAATCTCAGTGTTGATGAGTACTGTCCTTTAATTCGTAAAAACTCTAATTGTCAAATGCTTAGCTTAAGCCTACTTACGCATCAATTCACTTGTTTGTCCATATATTAGGTTTAAATCTCTTGACCATTCTTGTGCTTTCACTTAGACCTCTTCACTCTATCTCTTTTCCCTTTGTTCATTATTTTTTATTTTGACTAACCCTAACTTAACAACCTGCGGTTGTTAAGTTAGGGTTAGTCAAAATGGAGGAATAAAAGTTACGGTTAGTCAAAACGGGAAGCGGGAGCGATCGCTCTCGATTGATGACCACGGAAATAATAATTAGTTGCCAGAAGCTAGTAATTAAATCATTGAATTACTATAGAAATTAAATTAACAAGATAGAAATCAACTAAAAAAATTAAAATTACTTTATAACGAGGAAGCGAAACTGCTTCACAATATAGCTAATGATGTTCAGTGAGTGGGCTTTTTAATTTTAAATAATATTTAAAGCAGAAAAAAGTATAACGAGTTTTAAGAATGGCAACTTAAGCGAAAATAATTAGAGTTAGTAAAACAATATCTAGAAGCTTTTCTTTATGTCTAATAACTTGCTATATATATTTGTGTTCTGTCGTGACCTCAGGCGCAGTGCTTGTTCATCCGCGAGTTACTTTGTATCCATTGTTTGTGTTTAGTAACCAGAAACTTATATGTTTGTTACATAATTCGTTTTAACAACTTTAATGATTATAACTTCATTAAAAACGCGATTATTTTTGTAGGTCTTAGTTTACAAATTAAATCATAAAATTCGCCTTAAAAGATTACATTAGGATAAAAAACAGATACACAAAATTAGATTTACAAAAAAAATACATACTTTTAAATAAAAAATAAGAATATACAAATAAAATCTATAATTTATAATAAACTTTCAAAATTTTGACAATTTAAATAATAAATATTTAAAACTTTAATTTTTGTAAACAAAGTTCATAAAATTTACGGCTTAGTTCATAAAATTGTATATAGACTTTGAGAATTTAGAAATGGAGTTAAAACGATTTGATATAGTTAAAAAGATGGAAAAAATGCCTCAAAAAAGAGCTGCAAAAAACTTATTCCAATCTAGTTGTTACATTACGAATCATTCTTACTTTATCAGTTACTGTTGCAAGTGTAGAACGTTGCTTTAGCAAGTTAAAACTAATTAAAACTTTTCATGGGTTATTAGGGTTATTAGTAGTATTTCTTTGGGTTACTTATAGGGTTAGTAGTTACTTATAGGGTTACTTATAGTTACTTATAGGTTATTTATATAAGTACACTTATATACTTAAAAGTTACTTATAGGTTACTTATAGGGTTAGTAGTAGTACTTCTATGGGTTAGTAGGGTTAGTAGTAGTATTTCTTTGTATCTTTAAATAAGTCAACAATGGACGATGAAAGTTTGTTTTCTTTAGCAACGCTGTCGATTGAAATCGAGGTTGCAAGGAAATTAAGTTATGAAGGCATAATAAACGAGTTTGCAATCATGAAAATAGTCGCAAACCCTTTTTTTAATAGTTTGCGACATTCTTTTATTATCTGCGTAATATATTAACTGTATTTAAAAAAACTCTTTACTGGTAAACTCTATATCAATTTAACAATTATAAAATATATTTAGTTGAATTTAAGCGTTAATTTGATTGTTTTTAGTCTTATGAACGGCGACGTTAAAATATTTCAGGTACCATGCTTTTTTGGGTAGTCTGTAAATCTTATCCACTTTTTTAAAAAGAAAAAATAAAAAATTAGGGCCCAACTTACTAGTTCTGGGGGGGGGGGCCTAGACCTACTGTCACAGCACTGCAAATATTGCAAATTATGTTTTGATATAAACATGTAAATCAACTTAAATTAAAAAGATAATATTAAAAGCGGTGTATCTAATATTTGTAGTGTGACTTTCTGTCAATAACTTTCTGCCAGTGACTTTAGTCACTGATTTATAGTGACTTTCTGTCACTGATTTAAACTTATCACAGTGACTTTCAGATTACAGTCACTGATTTCAATTTGTTGCACAAAAAATATATATATAAATTGATCTTACTTAATACATATAAAATCAATCGAACAACACTTCATTCATTATATTATGAAAAATAGTTATAGAACTTGTAAAAAATGAATTGGTAAATCAGTCGACCTCAAGAACAAAGTTAATTTTTTTTTAGATGATTCAAAAGTAGGTTTTGCGGTTTAATAAAAATTTCGCATGCGCAATAGTTCGCGAAGACGTTCTAGGTCTGTGTATTTTATAAAAATGCAAACCTACTTTTGGATCATCCAAAAAAAGATTAACTTTGTTGTCGAGGTCGACTGATTTACCAATTCAATTTTCACAAATTCTTGAACTATGTTGATAATAAAATGAATGAAGAGTTGTTCCATCGATTTAACCATAAATTAAATGTTTCCAAGAATACACAATTCCTACAAATTTAATACAGATATGATGGATTTTGTACCCCTAAGTAAAAAAATCTCGGCTATTCAGCATTAAGGTATTTTTTGTTGTTTTGAGCTTTATGAAAATTTTATTTAATTAAAATAATATCACAAATTGGATCTAGATTTAAGATCTATGTTAGGTTTTAACTTTTGTTTATTGGTGTTTATCTAATTATTAACACAGATAATCTGTGTATTTTTCATAATAACATAATGACTATGAATCGTTTTATAGGTTGTTTGTATGTTTAATAATCGTAACTCTACGAGCTATGCATAGCTCGTAGAGTTACGATTACTTTTAACTTGAGTAAACAATACTGCATTCTTTTGTTTTTCTGTGTTTAATAAGACTATAAAATATATGTTTTTTATAATGCACCACCCTTATATGATTTAAACTAAACATATAAACATAAACTACTAGATATATTTATAACTTTATAATGCATTATAAAATGGATTATTTTTAGTTATATTTAATAATATATCATTTATGCATATACTTATTTTAATTGTTTCCAGTAGCTTTGCTTACTTTGCATAACTTGCAAAAGTAAGCAAGTATGTCAAGTTAATCAGTTTGAATTTTAATGCT